TCTTCGAGAAGAGCAGGGGGTTACCCCGGTGTATTGATCCATTCATCCCTGTCCCCTGCGGATATGCCACATAGGATAGTGATGAAGTTCACTTATTGCCATATCTTTGGCGCTCGTGCCTAAAGAAATGAAATGAAGTTATTACAGACGTTTTACTACAAAAATTAAATTCTTAAATTTGCTGTTAGAAATATATGGATTATTGGAAGACTAGTATACACACTAATTGACGAGAAAAATTAATTAAAGCCAAACACATTGATATGAGCAAAACTAAAACTTTCAAGTCATAACCGAAGTACAAATGTTTTGATAGTATATTATTGAAAATGAAATTATTGACAACGCACGCATTACAAATGCACGTATCTTTACTGTCCTTTTTGATTTCCTTTGTCTTCGTTCGTATTACATTTCCACAATCAAATTTATTTCGAAACCCAAACGGAACGGTGATCTAAGTAAACGGCCAGACTGGTAAGGAAATACAAGTTCAGTAGTAATTAGGCGCTTTGCCCTAAAGGGCCTTAGGCCTATAGGTTAAAGAAGGACTTTGAAAATAATTTGTTTTTCTACAGGCAACCAATGAAGAGAGCGCAATGCTGATGAAATTGTGTCACGAACCTTCATCCGAGTAACAAGTCTAGCTGCACAGTTTTTGCACAAGCAATTTAGCAATCTGGAAGGCTGGTAAACCATGGCATAAACTATTGTAACTGTGAATTCTAGAACTTACAAAAGCGTGCACTAGTCGTTCCGTTGTGTTGCTAGACTTACCCAGTTTACCCAGTCAGCAGCATGCTGACTGGGCTCTGTTTCTGAGCAGTTTAATTTCTTTCTTTCTGGCAACATTTTGAAAGGCTACTAGTGGCAAACTACTGGACCGATTTTATTAAAACTTGGTCAGCAGAACCGGTGCCACCTCCCATTTATGTGTCGTTCACAACTTTGTCTTTTTTTTTTTTGTAGTGCTTTTTAGTTGTCATTATTTTTGTAGTGCTTTTCGGATGTGTCAAACAAAATATAGGGAAATGATCAGATGTCCGAATGACAGTATTATAGAATATGTTTGATAGGAGTTTGAAAGTATATTATCTATTATGGTAGCAGTAGTATCTGTGATTCTCGTTATTTTGTTTATGAGTAAGGAAAAAGATTGAGATTGAAGATTGTCTAAGTGAGAAGTTATATTGCCATCTGTCATGTGTTGGCTTATATCATAGGCTATTCTTATGTGGGCTGGGATTTGCAACAAGGTCTTGGACTAGGCCTCTATACTATAATAGGAGGCCTGGTCTAGGCCTATAATATAATAAAATTTTGTATAAGTAGTCATATGATTACAGGTTTACATTGTACCAAGGTCAATATTAACGATCGCATTTATTTTTCATTAATAATAATATTTAAAAAAAAACGTTTTGAATTTGAATTACATTTTAAAGAAATTAGAACTACATTTTGGAAAATGTGAACTACGTTTTGAAAAATTAGAACTTCAAATTGGGAAACTACTATCTACATTTTGAGAAATTTACGCCTACGTTTTGATAAATTAGACATTGAATTTTGCAATTACATTTTGATTTTAACATGGACTTTTGCAGCGTAAACACTCCATATATGATGATTTGTCTGTGAACATCCGCTTCCTTGAAGAGATCATTCTGGACACGCAAAAGAGCAGTCTCCACGCTGTGACGCGGCTTGTATGTCGATTGATGTGGTGCAGACAAACCACTGCTTTCATGGTATTGTTGAGGTTGAGCAGGAACAGCGCGTTTAGTTAACAAACTTAAAGTGGAAATCGGGCGATAATTGGATAATAAGGATCTAAACCTTTCTTTTTCAATACCGGTATTATCCGTGCAAAACCTCAGAGCGCAGTATTGCATTATCTATTTGATTTATACATCATTCGGACTCCAACCCGGGACCTTTCGCATACAATGCGAACGTCATAACCACTGGATCACGAAGGCATTGTGGTGACCAGTGGTCACTCACGTGCGATATTAGCGTTATATCAAAATATATTCAAATCAGGTTGAGCGTTACATCAAAATCGTGACACAGACACGTTAAAAGAATGAAAGAAACTTCTACTGGGCGCTTGAATCACTACAATGCCTTCGTTTCGTGGTCAAGTGGTTAAGACGTTCGCCAGGTAATGCTACCATTGCTATTAACCGTTACCATTATCTTTACATTTACCAATGATTAACATGATCATCATCACCATCATCATTAATAAACTCTTAAATTTCGTTGACGACCATCATTCCATTCAACACCTTCACAATTATTGTTAAACTGAACTAGAATAATATAGTACTGTACAAACAAGTGCTATGATAGTGGATATTACCGGAAAATCTAACAATCACCTTTTTTTTTTTTTATAGATATTTGTGCACAGATAACACGCTTGTGCTCCGCCACTGTTTACCTATTCGCCTTTGATTAACTACTTCTGCACAATTAGCAGTGTATAGAAATTTATAGTCAGTTTTATTACGATACCGTACTGAATGTTTATATTAGCTGGTTGGTGTGTAAATTTGGCTGTGTGAATTAAAGGACCACCAATGCGTGTTTATTGCTTAGCGAATCATGCACATTGCTGACTTAACTACCGAATCCCTAGACTTGCCACAAGCACTTTTATTTATTTTTTTTCATTCTAGACAGCACCTTACCCACAAGCAAGTTAATTTAGAGATGGAATTAATGAAAAAAAATCAAGTGTAATAAAACTTTTAACTTTTAATGTTTTCAATCTGTGATGTTTGTATATTACTGTAAATAATAGTTAATCCTTTATGTTTTTATATTACTTTCCTTCGATGATTTTTTATTACTGTTCTGTATTATTTTCAGTATCATTTAATTCAGTCCTCGACTGCGATTTTGATATTGAATATAAGAAGGAAAAGAAAATAAATCACTGTAGGTATGCAGCGCAATAACGAGTGGGTAACACAAAATTAGGGCCTGGAACCCAGGCTACCGAATCCTAGCTGCCAATGTCTGAGCCTATGCCTAACTGTGGACTCCGCAATTTCCAGAAAGGCCTACCAGTTTGCCAAATGCTACGGATTGCTAAATCTTAAGTCGCCAAAATCCAGCTTGCCGAATGTAGATGCTCCATGGGATGCGGGGGAAAGCGACCAACAATAAGAGCTTTATTTACTGTATAAAAATATGTGAGGATAATATAACATATTTAAAGTCACTATAGGCCTAATTGTAATGTATTCTTTATTTGAAGGGAAAATTTCTATTTTAGTTGGGTCTGCCAAAACGATAATATGATACATTATGTTTGAATTTATTCCAAGTGTTTAGAATAGTATGCAGTTACTGATGCCAAGTCTTGACAACAGATGAAATTAAATAAGTTATGAATAATCTTGTTTCATTAAATTCCTCAAAGTATTAAATGTGTTTATTTACACAGGAACAGGCGTATCACTTCCGTGTAGCAAATGTTATAGGCCAGGCAGGCCTCCCGCTAATAATTAAATTGTATCCTATAATCAACAATGAAAAAATGGAGATTATTCGATATGCAGATTATAGCCATAGAGTATGGAATACTCACTATGAAGTCTACTCATCGACCCAAAATACGGTAGTACAGTACAGTAATAGGAAATTAGATTTAATGGTTCTATTTATCATATTGAATTGAATAATTGTGTAAGTTGACATAATATATTATTATATTTAAGGGAAAATAAAACATGTAGTTATGATGCTGAATATTGTTTTAAAAAATCAATGGTTAAGAAATGAGATAGAAAAATAATTTTGTGGGTATTATTCATGATTTTAATATATGTTTTATCTTGAATTAATGTGAAGAAATGTATTTTTATGAATGTTCTGTACTTAACGTAATAAATGACCTTTTCGTCGTTAAAGAAAAAAAATAAATAAAAAGGGATTTCTTTGAAATCTTTACATCAATTCCTGTACTTTTTGTAAGCAATTTTCCATTACCATACTAACATCACCAACAACATTATCTTTAGTCTATATAAAACACACATAAAACACAATCTTTGATGTAAACTCGCCAATATTTTTATTTTTAGATAATATAAAAAAATTCATAAAAATAGCATTATATCATTATTTATTTATTTTATAGTCTTTAGGCCTAAATGGAGGGAAATTTTTCATTTGGATCCACAAAAACACATCATTATTCAGGGATTTCATATAATAAGAGGAGACAGGGCAGCAGATTCAGGAAAGAAAAAGGAGGAAACTGAAATATTCGTCACTAGTTTGAAACATTACCTGCCCCGAGAATTTTCGCATGTTATAATCATAACTGTACGTGTACATTCCACATAGAAATCTACCAAAAAAAGGCATCATGTGAAATATTTGATGTTATCAGTTATGGCGACCATTCACCATTGTTCTATACAACGGAGTTCAACATATTTCTACCAACATGTTGTATGGCAATAAAATTCTAGATAGGCCGCGCCTATATGTGAAAGATGTATACAGTATGCGTCGTTGGTGTTTCCCAACTTGGGGTATTCGGATCTTTCATTTTCATCCCCCAACAGTACAGTACAGTTTTGTTCCTCCCACTGATGCCAGTCACATCCAAGAGGCAGTCTTCTCAGCATCCAAATATATGCTGGGTCCGACTGTTGAAGGGTTTTCTTGACTGAGTTAGCTTCTTAGC